TAAGAAGGGGGAAGAACCGGGAGAACGCGGAGGCCAGAAGCCCGGGGCGCGGGGGTACAGTTTTGTGAGCTACACTTTTAGACTGTAGTTGTTGGGCCCTGAGCGATGGAAACCAACTTGCCCAGCTCCTACCCTTGGGAAGCGTATGTTCTACTGGGAGCAGAGACAGAAAGAAGAGGGAGGGGAATGAGGGGCGAGCAGGGGAAGCGAGGGATGTAGAAAGTTACAGACTTAACTAGGGGAGCAGGGCTCAAGGAAGGCTTCCTGGAGAAGATGGCATCCAGCTACAGTTGGTTTCCTCCCCTTCCTGGTACTAGTAGTACTCAGAATTTCTCTGCAGCTGGTCCCAGTCCCCAGCTGTTGCGTGATACTGCCTCACCACCACCCGCATCTCAGAAGGTGGACTCTGACTACCCTAAGCCCCCGACCCTAGTGATTGGCTCAGAGAGGGGCACATGGCTCAAAGTGGGCAGCTCAGAGAGACTCTATTCCTGGACTTGAGTTTGAACTTCCCAAGAAGCAGATGGTCTCTATGTGCTAGACTGGCACCAAGAAGAGGGCGATTTGGTAGCTACTGGGGCCATCTTGGGACCATGAGGGCTGCTCCTGCCTCCTAGCCTGGGAGGTGGAGCCCAGAAGAACAGAGCAGGGCAAGGCTCAGTGCAGAGCCCTAGTTGAAGCCTCGCCTGACCTGGATATAGACTGTCCCATTATGGGAGCGATGAAATGTGCCCCCCCCCTTTTTTTTTTTTTTGCTAAAGCCCATTTGAGTTCAGATTTGTTACTTGCACCTTCCAGGAAGAAGGAAAGCAAAGGCCTCGCTTGCATTCGCAGAACCTAAGCCGGGCCCCAAGGAGGGGAGGGTGCATGTGGTAAGGCCAGCAAGGCCGTGGACTAATAGCTAACTTGCTAGGCTTTCCTTCGGTGCCAGGCATTGTTCTGAGATGTTTACGTGCATAATTTTACTTATTCTTCACAAGGACCCTGTGAGGTAAATGGCATTATTATCCCCATTTGATAAAGAAGCAAACCGAAGTACAAGAGGCTAGGTAACTGGCCTGCAGTCAGCTGGAAAAGGGACCGCTGGGACTTGATACCAGGGAGTCCGACTCCCGGTCCCGGCTGCTGAGACCAGATCACGCTGGGCCTTGTGCAGGGCCAGGCAGGTCTCCGGGTCAAAGGTTGCTGAGAGGTGAGGGACATGAAGGCTGAGAAGACATTGGATTTGAGGCTTAAGGGTCACCAGTGGCCCTTCTGGTGTGTCCCCGTTTCAGGGAAGGGTAGAGCAGAAGCCAGTTTGCAAGGTGTGAATGGGAGCCAGGTGTGAATGGAGAGAAACAGCTGGCAAAGACCACACATCTGTGGGTCTCAGCTACAGGAAGCGAAGAGTCAAATGCAGGTTTTTCTGTTCCTTTTTCCTCGCGAGGGCGATATACTGGAAGTTGTTTGCAAGGGATAAGGAAGGGGGTAGAAAGTAGGCCCAAAGACCCAGAGGGTACCCCCGAGGGAGAGAGGTCACGGTAGACAGGAAAAGCAGGGGTGGTGTGTGGTCTCGGGGAGGAGGTCAGTCCCAGGAATGAAGTGAGCACCTCTTCTTCTAGCGAAGGGAGGAGGAAGGGACAGGTGAAGGTGTGAGCCACGTTTAGACACAAGGGGGCAGAGACATCCAGGAAAACTGGCAGAGGGGCAGTGGGGAAGAGCCCTGGTGGAGAGTGTGGCATTCAGGAAAGCCGTAGGTATGTGCGAACATGTGCCGGCAGGCGTGGGTTGGGGGGGGGGGGGTAAGGGAGGGAGAAGGGCCGGAAGGGGGGTTCCCAGGTTTTCCTGTTTCCGGGCCATTGGCTTCCCCCCCATTTTCATTTTTTTAATTTTAGACTTACAGAAAATTTGCACAGGTTGTATAGAGGGTCTCCAGGCCTTATTCTGACTCTACCTATTGGCCGTATTCACTCAAGTCATTTCTTAAAGCAAGACTCCCAGGCTGACTGCCTCCCAAGCCACGGGCCTGTGCCTCTCCGGCTGGTACAGCTCACTCGGTGGCAGGACAGGTCCTGTGTGACCAGGCCCTGCCCCCCCCTACTGCCGCGTTTCCCTTGCCCACCCCCACCCCAGTCCTGCAGCCCAGCTCCTTCCAATATAGCCCACCTGTTGTCGCCATCGGACTCTGAACCCCAAAAGGAAAGGACCCAAGTCCTGGGCCTCAGCGGCCTTTTACTCTTTTCTGGTGCCTGGCAAACAACCAACAAATGAATGTTATCAGCAGAAAGCCACACAAAACAGAGATGCCGGGAGACCAGGAAGAGGTTACACCTGGGGTATCACCTGGGTCGTGGTGGGCCCAGGGCCCTGGAGGCTGAGCCCCCCTAGAAGGGAACGAAGGAACCAAAGACAAACTTCAGCCAGCCTTACAGGGCCTGAGCTCATCACCAAGAACCTGTGCCTGTCCCATTGTCTGCAAAGAGATGCACCAACCCACTTCCCAGACGGGCAAGAAAGTGAGGGTGGACACAAGGTCAGACAGAGGCCTGTGGGTCAGATCTGCCCCAAACCTCAGGACTGGGACTGGGAGCTCACTCATTTTTCACTTTTGTGGGGACAATTCCTTGGGGAACTCTAGGCTGCCCCCATATGGCTCCAGCAACCCTTTTTCCTGTCCCTCTGCAGGAAGATGTCAAAAGAGTCGCAACAGTTTGCAAGGCTGATTTCTCCAGAAGGTGGGAGGCCTGACCTGGACCACTGTGGGTTTAGGAAAGTGGAAGGTCCTGGTTCTGCTGATGGTTGGGGACAAACAGACTTAACTTCCTCTTCTTCAGGGAGCGGAGCTCTGCAGCCGGACACCCGGGCCCCACAAACTTGAAAGATACAAGCCCGCCCCCCAGCGGTCACATGTCAGAACTGCAGCCTAACCACGCAGTCTGCAAGCTGTGCCAGGTGGCGCCCTGCAGCCCGGATCTCTCGGAAGGCTTCAGGTGCCCAGGTGAAAGACAGGTGCCAGTTCCACACGAGCAAAGCAGCATCGAAGCGCCATATACATGCACAAGTGCAGACAAACCTCCACCTTTTATTCTGGTTTTAGAAATATGGATACATGTTCAGTGAGATCAAATAACCCACTCAAGGCCAAGCTTGCGTCAGTCCTGGGGCTAGTCACATCAACCTGATGCTAGGTTTTCCTGCACATCAGTGACCCAAGCCGCTTTAAAAATATATATCCGTGCCCCTGACCCAGATCTACTGAATCCGAATCCCTGAGCAAAGGGTGGGAATGTGTCTTCAGCATGTCTCCCCAGCAAGATGAAGTGTGCCTCCATATGAAAGGAACCAGAGAACAGGATTGTTACCTCCGGGAGGCCAGAGATGTGTTTCAGTCATTCTGGAATGCCCTCGTCCTGGCCCATAAAAAGTGGTCAATATTATTTGTGAAATGAATGAATGAACAAATGAGTGGATGAACAAATGATTGAGGCCCCCTGAGGCTCTGACAGCCTGTGCGCACAGTGCTACACACACACACACACACACACACACACACACCCCTACACAGGCACATAGACCCGCATAGGCACAGACGCGCCCGGGCAAAGGGACACCCAGCCTGGCCCCCTGCAGGTGGCTCCAGCTGTGCACATCTGCCTGACCCTCCCTTCCTGACACATTCGTGCGCACCTCCTTCTTCACTGGCCTGAATGTATTGTGCACCCACTGGGTACCCGGCCCGGCCCTGAGCCTTGGCCAGACACCCCTTGTGGTCCCCAAGGGCCAGCCCCACTTGGTGGCGTTCCAGACCCCAGGGCTGGCTTCCAGCACAGATGGGAGGAGAGGGGCCCCGGCAGGAAGGCTGGAGAGCAGTGCGCCAGCCAGCAGGCTGCAGACAGGCAGCAGCGGCCCTCTTGGCGGGCAGCCTGCTCGCACACTTGGCTGAACAGAGACAATGGTGGCTGCTTCGCCAACCCAGCCTCCTTCCCACAGGCAGAGCCTGAGGTCCGTGAGTGTCCGGAACCTCCCCCAGAGCCCAGCTGGGAGGCAGCCAGAGGGCAGCACAGGGGGACTGCCCAGGAAGGGCAGCAAAGCCCCCTGAGAGCTGGCGGGGAGGAAGGGGGGTCTGGAAGGTGCCCTGGTGCCCCTCCTTGGGAATGCAACTTTATGGGATGGGGTGTGTGGGAGGGAGCCAGCCTTCTACCTGGCTCTCCCAGCTCTCAGACCAGCTCCTTCCAAGAGAGACCTCAGAGGATGTATCACGGCCTCTTGCCTCTCGGCCTCTCCCAGGGGTCCGAACCTGGAGGACCTCCTTCCCTGCTCTGGGGAAACAAAGGCCCCTTGTTCCCAGGGCTCTCCATGGAGCTCTGGAGGCCCCAACCCCTTCTGGCCCTCACTGACCACCAAGGGCTCTGCTCTGATGATTAGCAATTCGGTGTGTAAGGTGGGGCCTCTCTCATCTGCCCTGGGTGCGTGGACGATTGTAGGGAGAAAGGACACAAAGGCCCAGGGCCCCAGAGTCAGCCTCACCGAGTTTATCCTCGAAGCACGCCCCCCCCCTGAAGGCCTACCTGTCAGGGGGCGGGGTCGAGCCACCCTGCTCTCTCAGTCACCTGAGGCTGGCTGGGGTCTCCCAGGACCTCTCACTGCAGGTCACCTGACTCCCAGAGCAAGACCATCCTCAGGGCTGTGGCTCCCCTGGCTTGACTGCCCAGAGGCTTCCATTGCCCCAGCCTCCCTTCTGGAAGCTCAGGGCCCGCGGGTGCTCTGATTCTCAAATAAGCGCCAAGCTGCCCCCAGGCCCAAGAAATGTGGCCACTCTGGATTGTGGAAGGGGGGAGGGTGACATGGGAGTGCAGCCAAACCCTTGACCTCTGTCCTCCCTTGGGAGTGAGCAGGGACTGGGGCAGCTGGGGCAGCCGTGGGGGTGGGCACAGCAGTACTAGAAAAGCTCCAGTGAGGACTGCAGAGAAACAGGGCCTGTCCTTCAGCGGGAAAGGGGAGGGCCTCATCCCCCAACACGGACCCTGAAACAAGGCTCCTCCATGGGGTCTCATCTCAGGTCCCCCCCCGCCCGAATACAGGGCCAGAGTCCATGTGGTGGTGCCAGCTTCAGAGCTGATTGCGGTTCCTCTTGGGTATGATCTTCCGGTAAGTTCTGCGCTCTGAGATGTTGCGCTTCACCTTGGCTGTGGTGGGGGCCTCTTCCTGGTGCAGGGATGGGCTGGAGTGGGACTTCTTCAGGCTGGGCTTGGGCTCCTGAGTGCCTCCGGCTTCCCTCTGCAGCTGCTCTTCCCACAGGTCCAGGTCATCCGAGGGGCAGCGCAGACGGGCCACCAGCAGCTGCACGTAGGTCTCGTAGCGGCTCTTCTGCAACACATGGGCCCCACCCCTTAGCGCCACCCCAGCCCCAGGGCGGGAGGAGGCCGGAATCACGAGGGGCAGACTGCTCCCACGTGTACAAAGCTCTGGTGGTAAAGATTTCTGCAGAAAGAGGGCTGGACAGCCGACGTCTGTACTGAGCCTGAGCCAGCTGACTGTGCAGAACACGGGAGCCACATCCGTGCCCGACCCCTGCAGTTATCTGGACAGTATTATAAGCAGCCCAGCCCTGTTCTAACAGCCACCACCCTGTAGTGCTGTAACTAACGTCTCCGGAACATGTTACATCCCTGAGACACTAAAAGATCCATAACCCACTAGGCCTGATCTGTGCGGCACTGCACACAAACAGCTCACATCTGTACTGAAGCCTAATTGAGTCTGAATAGCATTTTAACAATTGGCATCTGGAGAGCGGGATGCTAACCACCTTCATCTGTTTAACACTCCAAAGGCCTCCGTAACTAGCAGCCTTCGGATACGGGTCCCAGTGTATTAAGTGCATGCTCATCCTCCACCCCACCAGATTCTCATCCCAGCCCGGGTGGCTGGGTGGCCCAGGAATCATTGTCTCCACTTTATAAGGAGGAGAATGGGGTCTAGGGAGGGGCAGGGGCTTGCTACAGGTTGCAGCTGCTCATGGGCAGGAAGAGGCTAGAATTCTGCAGGCAGAGCTGGGTCCTGTCACCCCAGGGCCCCTGCGAAGCAGTGTACCGACGGCTGAGGATGCACCTAACAAGCCAAGGGATGGGCCACAAAGGCAGGGAGGGGGCAGCACAAGGCCCCGCAAACACAGCCCAGGGATGACACAGACACTCCCTTCTCTGGTCTCCACCTCTGGATGGCTCTGACCCCCTCTGTTCTCATACTGCCCCTCACCTACCCCTCCTGCTTCAGGTCCCAGAACATGCGCACTGACCAGAGGCGTAAGATGTAAGGGGGTGGGGGGGTCAGCTGGGGGGTCAGGGGATAAAACAGTGCGGCATCGATCGGAGGGCTAAAAAGGTCCTTAGTTAAGACTATAAATGAGGCACGGCCCTGACTGGAGTAGGATATGAATTCATCAGGTTTGGACAAGTTGTTTAATCTCTCCTTGCCTGTTTCCTCATCTGTAAAGTGAGGATAACGGTCCCTACCCCAGAGCTGTTAGACAACTAAACAAGATAATACAGGCAAGTAAGACAAACTCCATAAATACTGCCTATTAGTACTAGGTAGGTATTAGGGTAAATAATTCAACTAAAATACCGTTTCTACCTTCAATTTAGGTAAAGCCAAATACAGTATACTCTTAGGTGAAAGTGACAAAACGTCCCCTGTGAGTGTTTCCAGACAAGCAGCTTCTAGGTACCCCCAGGACAAGAAGTGAAGGGGTCTGAGTGCTCACGGACACGCACACTTTGTGCAAGCCCCTGCACGGGAGAGCTCACACAGGGCCTCCCGCAGCCCTGAGCGGCCCCGGGAACGAAGGCTGCAAGGCCGGATGCGGCCACGAGAGGGCGGCAGAGGGCCCGGCCGAGGGGGCTGGAGAGCGCAGGGAGGGCGGAGACTCCGGAGCCTGACCTCATACTCCAGATACTCCTTCCTCAAGCGGTACTCCTCCAGCTCCCGGCTGCGGCCCCGCCGTTCCGGTAAGTTCCTCTGCAGATCCAGCAGGTCGTCGGAGGCAGCGTCCAGGCAGTTCTCGTGGGATCGATGCTGCTCCTCCTGGAAGCGGGAGGCGGAGGGGGAAGCTGTCCCACCGCACCCCGCTCCGATCCCGGCCCCAGGTGTGCAGCCCACCGCAAACCCCTCTTGGTTCCTGCACCCACCGAGGTGTGCAGCCCACACATCCTCCCATCGTTCCCAGGCCCAGGTGCGCACCGCACCCCTCTCCCGGTTCCTAGGCCAGGTGCGCAGCCATCCCCCACCTCCCATCTCCCACCTCGTCCCCGGGGCCCGGGCAGTCCCCTTCCCCTTACCAGGGAGCTCTGGGCCGGGCCCACAGGCAGGATGGGCCGGACGAATCTGCGCTGGGAGCCCACCGCGGCGGGGAAGGGCGGCGCCGAGTGCGTGGCGGCCGCCAGGTTGATGCGCGCGATCCAGGAACTCATCTCCTTCGCAGTGCTGAGGGCAGAGGAGGCCGTCAGACCCCAAGGTGACAGAGTCGGCCCTGCCCCTCTCCCCACAACCTCCTGTGGTCTGCACAGCCTTCCAGAGTCTCAGGACCCAGCGCCTCAAAAAGCCAGAAGCCCGGCCACCAGTCGAGGTGGTTGACCTCTGCCGGTGGTTTTTATCATCCGTCAAAGAGGAAAATCTAGGAAGGCAACAGATTTTAGATCTAAGGCAAAAAAAAAAAAAAAAAATCAGTTGCTAGAGGCTTCCTGGAATCCTAGGTTCGGAAGTAGGAGGGTCGATGGCGGGGGGCGGGCGCTCCACCAGGGAAGAGGCGCTGCAGTGGCAAAGTGGGTGGGGTCAGGGGAGCAGGTGCAGGACGCCTAGGACCCCTGCCAGCCGCAGCATTCTCCTGCTCCCACCAGGGCCCCGGCCAGCAGCCATCAGAGAGTGGTGAGCAAGGGACCAGGGACAAGAGAGCCAGAGCCTTGCTGCTGGTCTGTCCCCCCGGGGACTTACGGAGCCTGGAATAGATAGAGGCGCCAGTCGGCAGTCCGCAGCTGGAAGACGTGCGGCTTCTTGGTGTAATGGGTGGCTGGCGTGGCCAGCGAGTGGTGCACCCCCACGGGCTCGTCCACCATCTGTCCCACCAAACTCTCCCCTGCAGGGGGGCAGTGGTCCTCTCCCTGCCACAGGGCACAGGCTCAGAAAAGAGGTGATCACAGGGGCCCACCCTCCAAACCATTCTGGGCCTTTCCCTGTTCCCCACCCTGCCTGTCAGGGCTGTGCACCCCCTTCCTACCTTCAGGAAGTAGAGGACCATCCCTCGAAGCAAGGTGTGGAACATCTTCCAGCCGCGCTTGCCCCACGGCGCTGCCCCAGGAGCAGAACACACAGGAGGTGGTGGCACCCCAACCAGACTCAGACACACATGGTCCCCTCTCCCCACCAACTCAGTCCCTCCCCAGGTGCATGTAAACATGCAGCGACATACCAACACCACAAAACAATCAGGAACAAGCAGGTGCCACGCCTCACACCCAGGCAGTCGTGCTCAGACCCCATAAACAACAACAAAAGCAGATGTCCACACCGACTGTCCCCTCTCCAAACACTCCCACACCGAAGCACGGTGCCACCAGACGTCTTTCTGGTCCCATCCAGAGAGGCACAGGGGCTTAGGTCCTCTTGCAGAAGAAGGCTGGCTTCCCTGGAGTCACCTTCCAGCCTTGCTCAGTCCCTGTGGCTTCTTGCAGCCAAATGCCAGTTCCCTGGCCGGTCACTGCACCCTGTCCTATCCATCCAGGATCCCATTACTGCTCTGGTCCTGTCGCTGCCCTGCTCTAAAGTCTCCACCTGTCTGCGGAGTGAGGCCAAACGCACCTCCTGCCATTCTGTCACACACCCCCAGTTCCCAGCAGACTCTGCCTGCTCCTTTGTCCGAGAGGAATGCCCTCTGGCCTCTTGTCCTCCAAGGTTCAGCTCAGATACCATCATTTCCCAGAAGCCTCACCCATCCCTGTCCCCCACATCTCACCCCCCAAACCAAACCAAAACCTAGCCCTCCTCCACACCCCCATACTTGATCCCACCCTCCCTACACCCCTCAGCCATTTCCACCTTTTATCCGAGGCACTGATGTGCTCATCTAACCTCCCCCTTACCATGGGGGGCTGGGGGGCAGGGAGTACCTAGGTCTGTCTTGTCTCTGCACCCCCACTCCCTGGCGTCCTAGCCGGCGCCCAGCACATGGTCACCATCAAGGAAGGAACACAGTGGGCGCCTGGGTGGCTCAGTTGGTTAAGCGACTGCCTTCGGCTCAGGTCATGATCCTGGAGTCCCGGGATCGAGTCCCACATCGGGCTTCCTACTCAGCAGGGAGTCTGCTTCTCCCTCTGACCCTCTTCCCTCTCGTGCTTTCTATCTCTCATTCTCTCTCTCTCTCAAATAAATAAATAAAATCTTTAAAAAAAAAAAAAAGGAAGGAACACAGGCTGCCAGTCCTTGACCCGTGCCATCTTTCCGCACGCCGGCCCACACGGCAGCCCGTGGCCCTGTGCCAAGCCACTCTTGCACGCCCGCATGCACATACACACGCGGGTTCGGCGGCAAACACAAGCTCCCCACACAGCAGGGCAGCAGACACTCACTCTTCTTGCCATCCGCATCGTGATGCATCTTCCGAGCCAGGATGCCCTGCTTGTAGGTGGGCGCCGTGGGGTTCTGGGCCAGCTGGAGGAAGGGGTTGCTCATCTTGCCAGTGGGGGGAGACACCTGGGCCTTCTCTGCTCTGCCTGCGTCTTCTTCATCCCTGGACATCAGAGAATCAGGCTGGGGTACTGACTGGGCAAAGGCTACTAGGAGGTGCCCACGGCCTCAGCGCTCTCCACCCTCTCTCTCTCGCTGGGGAGCCATACCCCAGGACCCCCTAAAAGGAGTCCTTCAAAGCCAGCCCATCCATTCCTGTCATCCCCACCCCCCACAGCCCCTGGCTTCTCCAGGTGTTACCTGGACTCCTCTACCCTCTTGGAGACTCACCCAGGGTCCGGCCTCTGGCTGCATCCCACTCAGAGGGGAGCACTGTCCAGGCCCCCCTGCCTCCCCGGGGCTCCTCTAACTCTCAGGTGGGCGGGTGGAGGGAGGACAGGCCCAGAGACAGGGGAGGGGAGCGGGGAGTGGAGGGAAGGGAGACTCTCACTTACACGGCCCATTCAAGCTTCTCACTTCGGATAGACCAGTAGAGGGCCTAGAACAGAAGCACACAGTGGGCAGGGAGCCTCGGCCTGTGGGGCCCAGTCTCTGCCTGGCAGAGGTAGGACAGGGGCAAGCTGCGGTCTGCCTCTTCCCCCCCCGGCACAGCTGCCCTTCGTCCTCGAGCAGGAAGCAGCTCACGCGTGCATCCATGTGCCCGTGCGTGCGCGCGTGCATGCGACCGTTTACGGAGCGTGCACCATGCGCCAGGCACCGTGCCCGACGCTACAGACAGGATGAGCAAAGCAATCCTAGTCCCTCCCTGAGCTAGTTCTCCCGGAAAGTAAATGAATCATCCAGTACCATCCTGCCCAGAGGGATCTGAGAGCAGGGACAGCTGACAAACAGGGGCAACAAATGGATGGTGAAGGAACGAGTAAGTGAGGTGCTGGGACTCTGAAATGACCTAACAAAGGGTATTCATGGCCGTGCATCTCGCTTGCCTTCATAGTCCTGGCAATGCCTCGCAGGGTGCCGGGCACACAGCAAGAGTTCCAGAAATGTTCACCGCACAGACAAAAGAACCAGGGCATCGCTGCGTGTGAAAGGCCTGCTGTGTGCCCCGCCCCATGCTAGGCCCCTGACAACCTTTATTTCATTGTGAGCACCACACTGTAAAGTGGGTGCTACCCCAGGAGGAACTCGAGCAAGCTGCCCAAGACGAGAATTCAAACCCTAGAACATCCGGCTCCTCAGTCTTAGACTTACTGCCACTTAAAACCCTGCCCTTTGTTCGTTCTGAGAACCCAAAACCCCAGTGCGTCTCAGATTCCCCATGCCTCAGAATCACCTGGAAACTCCAGAGAACATTTTAGGGGGTCCCAGCCCCAGAGATTCTAATTCAGTAGGGTCCAAGGCAGGGGGCCTACGAATTCACACAAGCCAACAAGTTCCATGGTGCTGCTGCTGGCAAGGACGCACACTCTAGTACCTTCCATAAACAGGCCGTGGCCTACCAAGGGCACGGCAGCAGAGCCAGGCCCAGGCTGAGCATCGCCCGCCCCCCCCCGGGGGGACAAGGAGCTACAGAGGTAGCCCCGGCATCACGAGCCCAGGGGGCAGCCCCCTGTGCCTTACCTTCAGCAGCTCCTTCGGGAAGTTCCCGCCGTCCCGCAGGCCGTTCAGGTTGGTTATGAATTCCTGGTAGCTCATGCTCTTCCCAATGTTCTGTGGCCATTGGGAGAGGTGGGGCAGCAGGCACACACTCCCCACCCGCAGAAAATAACCCCCCCTGTTGGCCACTCTGAAACCTTCTCCAGTCCTCCAGACCTACCTCCCCCGGAGCCCTTCCGTGACCCTAACCCAGGCCTCTGGCCTCAAGCTCCCCCGCCCCCTCACCTGTCCGTGCAGGTCCGTGTTGAGGAGCATGATGGCACAGGTCAAGGTGTGAACAGAATCTGCCCCGGAGGGAGGCGAGTACAGAGGAAGCTCGTCAGAACCGGGACTCCTGCCTTTCCACGGCCCACGCTGGGCAGGGTGACCCCAGAGGCTTCTGGTTCTCCACAGTCCCCCAAACACACTCCCACAAGCCGCTACCCAGCGAACGCCTGAGCACACCCGGGGGACACTCCCATGGCACCCCAGCACGCCCTGCCCTGCCCTCGGGGCCCACCCCTCCCTACCTGCGGAGGAGAAGGCCCCGGGATTGCAGTAATGGAAGCGTTTGGAGAACTGGTAGAGGATTCGCTCCCGCTCCTGAGTCTCCCCGCTGAGCACCAAGGCCTGGAGGAAGACCCTGGAAGGAAGGCCAGAGTCCAGGCCAGAGCCCAGGCTGGGGCAGCCAGCAGGCTCCAGAGCCGGGGGCCAATCAGATTCTGGCCTCAGCGGGGCTACCACCTCCCAGCCACCCCTCCTCCCCAGAGAGGGCCTGGAGGCCTTACCGGAGGGCTTGATCCAGGCTCTGGCCTCCAAACTGGAAGAAAGACAAATACTCCTCAGCCACGGCCCTACTGAAGTCATTGCTGCGGAAAAGAAACAGGAATGAAGGCCGCATGGCGGCGGGGGTGGGGGTGGGGGGATAGGGGTCTGGGCTGGAGCTGCAGATGCCGGGGGGCCCCAGGGCCTGTGCACATCCCCAGAGGGTGAGAGGGTAAGGGGGCGGCCCGGGTCTGGCCTGCCACGGGCACCCGTCTACTGCTGAGGGGGAAGGACACGGGGAGTTGGGTGGGGGAGACAAGGTGGCCAGGTCCGGTGGCTCTAGGCAGGGCTCAAGAGTGTGGAGAAGGGGTGACAAGTGGGGCTAAGAGGGAGAGGCAGGCGCCACAAGGGGACGGGAACGATGGGATGAAGGTCAGCAGTGCGGCGGCCCGTGGACAGAAGTCCGGGGACCACTCTTCCCTCTCCTGACGCAACCTCCAGCCTGGCTCAGGCTCCAAGCCCCTTACTTCTTCTGCAGGTAGGCAGCCACTTCAGACTTCCGGAAGCCTTCCAGGTGATAGAGGCGAGAGGCCAAGTTCCAGGCCACCTTGTCGGTGCTGTTACCGTTAGCCAGCTTGTCTCCAGTCTGTGGCCTTTGGCCTTCCTCCGGGGACTGCGCTTGGGGCATGGGGCTCTCAGGAAGCCTGCAAAGGTCCAACAGCGTCCTCAGACTACCACGTGGGATGGACAGGAGGGGTACTGGGTCAAGCGTCCCTCCAGGTCAGTCACAGAAGGGGTGCTCAAAGTCCACACCCAAAACTCAGCAGGGGAGCTGGAGTGCCGGGGTTGGAGGGAGCAGCTGGACCAGGGCCTCACTGGGGAAACTGGTCCCTGACCTGGCCTGGCCTGGCCTGGGCACCAGGAGGATCCAGAGAGGTGGCGTACCTGCCAGGCCAAGCTTAGCACCCAGCACCTTTTCAGGTAAACCACGAGGACATTCTGAGCCTAGTTCACCTCAGGTGGCAGGTGCAGCCCTTTGAAGACGCCAGTGGTATTGAATCCATCCCCAGGAGGGATGGCATTCGTCTCCCTGCCCCCCACCAGCCACCTGTCTCCCTCACCTGTCCTCCCCTGCTCGTGATGCCTCCTTGCCCCCTTGCCCCTCCCGGCCCCGGCCCCGGCCCCAGGCTTCCCTCCTAGAGCTAGAGCCAAGGAAGGTGCAAGGGTGAGGGAAGAAGAAGAAGCCAGACTGGCTTCAGGCATGGCGACAGCTGGGGGGGGTCAGAGGTGGCTTCCGACCTCTCCCTTCTCACACCGGCAGCCCTGTGGGAAAGCAAGCCCTCACCTCAGGAGCCCACATGGTGACCTGTTCTTATTATGAACATACACAGGACCAGGCCGCCCTGACACCCTCGGGGAACACTCAGCATGTGATGCTCGGAACTTTGGAAGTCACCAAGCCCAGTCTCCGCCGGACTCTTCCATTTCCCCCGCAACACGACAACCAGGGCTAGGGGATCCTCCTTATCGGAATATTCCAGATCCCAGTGACCACAGTTAGGGAGATGTACAGGTAAGCCACATCAGCAGAACCTGCAAATGTTCACGGATAGACTGACCACTTATCAAATGAGGCTGCGCTCGACAGCCCCTCTCTCCTAACGCGGACCTCCATCTCTGCCCTCGACTGGGCCGTGTCTTCTCTGCTCATTTCTCCCTGAGGCTCCTGCACACCCAGCAGGGCCGGCATAACGGAGCCCCACTGAAAAGTGACCTACAAATCTCACCCCCCAAAAACATAGGGCTTCATGAAGTCCGTGTCAGTGAGGCCAGAAGATTCCAGGAATCGCAGAAAAGCCAGGGACAAACAAGGAACTGAAGGAGTTAAGTCCAGTGGACAGTTGGAGAGGAGAAAACTAACCACCCGCACGTCACATCTGAAGAGAACTATTGGATCATCAGCTGCGCAAGCCCTAAAATGCTTTTACAGAAATGACCTAGTCGACTAGTGTTGTTTCTAAAATAATATCTAGATGGGGAGTTACTTCTGGGGAAAAAAATAATGCAAATATCAACTGTCATGGGACTGTGTACTTTAAATGGGTGAACTGTATGGTATGCGAATTATTTCTTCAATGAAGCTGTTACTAAATTAATTGAGCTGTGGGGCCTGCTTGGGATTCTCTCTCTCTCTCCCTCTCTCGGCCTCTCCCTGCTCCAAACAAATAAAAAATAAAAAATTAATTAATTGCAATGAAATGAAATAAAATGAAAAAATAAAATATGATAAAAATAACCTCTGTGACCTCACTGTGATAGTCAAGCACAAACGAAACATCCTGTTGGACCAGCAAACTCGGGCCAGGAAAATTAATCCAATATTGTGCTGAAAATAAGATTAAACTTATTTATTTATGTAATATTTAGCATCATAGCAAGAAAAGCCCCAATCGAGCCTTTTTTCATTACTTACTATGAACATATGGTTCTCGTTTCAGGTGGATTTACTTACTTTTATTTTGGGTTGAATTGACTTTTACTTTTGGTATGACGAGTCCTCTCTTCTCAGATCCTGAAAGACTCCCCTGATTCCCAAGCCTCCTAACACCTCCAGAGGCTGTATAGTTTTCCAGATGCATGAGAGACACACACTGCCTGAGGTTCTGTCCCCATCACCCAGTGACACTGACATGGGGGGGGCGACCCTCAAGTTAGTGCAACCCAAACCATCACTGGTTCCTCCCGGCCTCTTCAGGATGTCCCCTCCTCTGCCAGCCAGAGAACAAAACCCCTTTCCTGGGTGGAGGCCCCAGGCACTGACAGCCCCCTGCAGCTTCTGGAGGCAGGCAGACATCTAGGTTGGTTTCCCAGTGGTCCTATTCCTGCCTCTGGCCACAGTTCTGGGGTTATTCGATCCTGCTATGGGCCCCAAGATCCACTTCCTTGGTTCCAGTCAAACTTCCCCTTGGGGTTCTGGCCTCCCCTGAGATCTGAGCCATACCCTTGGCCTAAGGTTCACCGATGGATTTCTCCCAGGCACCTCCCCAAGTTCAAAGCAATGTGTCATCCCCACATCACAAGCTCTGACCTTCCCACTCCCCACCCTGCCTAGCACGATTCCCGTTGTTCCGGGCACATGGCCCTGGTCAGGTCCGCTGAACACCTCCCACCGCTCTCCTGGTGTCCAGGCTCTTGGGGCATTGCCCCAGCACATGCAAATCCTGCCCCACGTGTCTGTCTGCTTTTGGGTTTCGCGTGCTTTCAAACCCTCCAGTATTGCTCAAAACTGCTGACACGCAGTCACAGAATCCTGGCTTAACAGGTGTTAATATGTTAAATCCCAGTGGGCATTTCTCACGTTCCATCCAGACCAGGGTATTCGTAAATGTATCCAAAATTAGAAGCCAGAGAGCTGGTTAGTCGGACACTTACCCTTCTGCAGAGGTCAAGCAAGCGCCAGGCTGGATGGCTCCCACCTCTGGAGCCCTGGCTGGGCCTTCACTCCAGGCCTCTCCTGCCTCCTCTTTCTCCAGCAAACGTGGCTCTGCCCTATCTGTCTCCAAGAGTGAAGGGCGTGAAGCATCTAGCGTCCGCTCAGGAAGACTGCTGTCCCAGTGGGGGCCCCAGGGCTTCGGGCTGCCTTCCCGGGAGAACACGGGGCTGGGCCTGGGGCCAGGGCCTCTGTTCTCAGACTCGGGGCTACTAGGCACCGGTGATGAAGCTGGGCTCCCCCAGGGGCCAGGAGCCAAGGTGCGCAGAGCAGACTCCTGGGGACACTCAGCATCACTGTCACCTGAGGAAGAGCATGGAGGGAAGCTGACATGGGGCGAGCGGCAGGCTGAGGGCCAAGGGGAAAACCGCCTGGGCTGCCACCTCCACAGGCTCCCTCCCTGGGGCTCCTCCCCCTGGAGCTGGGCAGTGCGTTCTGTCCCTCCTCTGGCAGGCAGTGGTGGGGACCTCCCACATGCAGAGGCAGCAGGCAGAGGGCTCCCAGAACTCCCGGTCTCCAGGCAACCCTGGGGCTCAGGACTTCCTAAACCCCTAAGACCCAGGCATCAGAAATGCCTGGGTCTTTGGCACATTTCTTCATTAATTCTATGAAATGAGCATTTTCAAAACCATTGTATGAATGTAGTCACAGAAGGAGAAGCAGGATTTCACCCCTGCTCTGGTTTCAACCTGATACAATGGGACTTCTTAATGATACCTATGGATCCAAGGAGATCTTTGTCCCCGCCCAGATCCAAAGCTTCCCACACTCAACTTCCCAGAGCCCATAACAGGTCTCACCTTGGTCCTGGGAGATCAGAGGCACCTGGGGCCAGGAAGGACCCTCTTCTGTCTGCCAGCCTTCCGGGCTGGGCAGGGCCTGTTGAGAGAGGCACAGGATCTCCATGAGCCCTGGAGGCACTGAGAGGGGGAGGGGGAGGGGAGAATGACTTTGAGTATCCAGGGCCCCTCCCTCCCTGCTCTCTTCCCACCCAGACAGTAGGGCCCCAGTTCAGAGGAGGAATCCTGGATGAGAGAAGACCTGCGTCCTAGGGGTGCTGGTGCCCACCCCGAGAATCAAGAATCACCGGGGCTCACGTTCCTCCATACAGATGGGGAAGGGGAGGCCGAGAGAGGGTAAGTGACTTGCCCAAGGTTGCACAGGCTGTATGGCAGAGGTGGGATCAGATCGGACTTGTCCTGTTTCCCAGGTCAATGCTTTGTCCACACAGGATGCTGCAAGTGGGGCGGGGTCAAGACTGTCTGCCAGAGAAGTCTTAGAGAGAAGGAGAGGCAAGAGGTTTGACCTGAGGGAAACTGTTCTTAGGGCCTTTAATGCACCCCACGAGGCCTCCAGTGTCTCTCATCCATGCTCACTGACTTCTAGTCTTCCCTGCCCCCATCCTCCTCCCTCTGTGGTCCGCAGTACCAGCCCCAAAACGGGCTGTATTATAGGGAGGGTGACAGCGCCCAGGCACTGGGATGGAAGCAGATGCCACTTGCTGTGAGGATGGGGCTCCCAGGCTTCCCTCTGAGGACCCCAAGGGTCCTAGAGCAACAAGGTCGCGAGAATGCGCTCTCACGGGACAGAGCCACAATGCCCCGCACTGGACGCCCCAGCCTTCCGGTCAGGGATCTCCAACAGTACCTAGCAGCTCCTGGGATCTTGGGGTCAGGTGGGAGAGCTGTCTAGTTAATGGCTCTTCTGCATTGTTCTTTGGGACCAGAAGAGATTAGAAAGTTACAGCCCTGCTCTGCCATCTTGAGTTTCCTTATCTCTTGAGCAGAGGCCTCCCTGGGAAAACTATGCTCCCTACTGTCTCCTGTCACTTGTCCCCAGAGCTTGTCCTAGTTGCTCTCAAGGACCTCTGCCATTGTCATGCGGCCCGATCTGTCGACCCTGGGGAGGGAGGTGCCTGGGTGGGAATGAAAGACGGTGAACTCAAAGTAACCAAGTGCTGAAATCTCTCAAGAGACCAGACTCTTAAAACAGATTATCTCCCTGCTTGGGGCAGAGGTCATCTTGCAGGCGGAACGCTGCCCTGTTACGGTTGGGAATGTCCTGGAGGTGGGAGGGGTAGAGTCTAAGAATGGCCTGGAACACGCTGAAATTGGAGGAGCTGTTTGTTCTCCAAATGTGTCCAGACACAGCCCTCTGGAGCTGGTGAGATAGAGACATTTGGGGACTTAATGGCCATCACGTTCTGTTGACATCATGGCATTTGTACAATGTCCTGTGATTCTGAAGGCCACACTGGGCCTGCTTTTCTGCTATACTACTTCAGGATTCCAAAAGGCCCTAGCATCTAAAGAGTGTTCCGGGCCCAGTGGCCATGGAGAAAGGCCTCTCCTTCTATGTCCCTCTGCACCGCCTTGGGCTGGTCCCCAGGGCTTGGCTTACCTCACTCTCCCCCCAGTCAGGAGGTGCTTCGGGGGTCCCCTTGGTGGCCTCACCCTCCACAGTCCACGAGAAGGAGTGAGGTTTGTAGGTGAGCACAGGGAATGAAGGCGTGGTGTGTCCGCTGTCATCAGCTGCGCCACCCCCTAAACCCGGCTCGCTGTCCAGTTCCCACAGTGCTCCCCCTCCTGGGAGTGGAGGCTCCAGGATCTGGCGACACTGGGGCTCAGGTCTCACATCCGTGCGGGAGTCTGAGAACCCCCAGGAAAAACGAGCTCCAGAAGCACTGGTGTCCGAGCAAGGGCTCTCCAAAAAGAGGGGATTGTCGAAGAATATGCTCTCCTCCTCAGCACCCCACTCCGGGGAGGAGTCTGTCCCTCCCTCCCTTGGCCACACAGAGTGCTGGTTCTCCCCCTCAGGGCCACTGTTGTCTCCCCCTGGGGCCACCTCCACCGGTAAGCTGGGGTGGAGGCCTGAGCTCCGGGGGCCCGCGGGGCTGTTGGGGAAAGGGGGGAGCTCCACAGGGGCTGCAGGGAGGCAGCACCTCAGCTCAGCCCTGAGCCCCTCTGTCTTCTCCAGCTCCTCCTCCAGGTCCAGGACACACATCTGGGCCTGCAGGATGCCTGCCCAGAATACCACCTGGGTGGACGTGCTCTGGCTCTGCCTCGGGCTCCCCAGAGGATGGCTGTTCCTGGGTGACCCGGGGATCGCCGATTTGTGCCTGGGCTCCCCCTGGGATAAGGGCAGAGCATCTGGCCTCTCAGGAGGCTCAGAGGCCCAGGTCTGTTCCCCACGAGGTTCGGGAGGGTCAGGAAGGCTGCACGTTTCCCTCAGGTGTGCTTCTGGGTTGGGCTGCAGGTTCTCCCCCAAATAGAGGTTGAGAAATTCCATGGGCTTGGGGTGTTCAGAGAGTCTGTCGTCACCCATCCTCCAGAGTGCAAGCTGCTCCGGCGCCCCCAGAAGTGTCTGCCTTCACAGTCCCATTGTGTGGATCCGGGGGAGCGCTGGCCCGGGGGAGGGTGGGGGGCAGCGGGGAATCCACGCCTACCCTGCAAGTGCCCAAAGCAAATGTGGGTTAGCGAAGGGCACCCAGCCCCTGGAGGCCCACGTCTTGTGTATCAGACAGGTTTCTTGCCCCGGCTGAGGGGCACGAGCCCTCCACAGCCCTGCCAGGGGTGAGGGGGGCACCATGGATGCTGTCCGCCCAACCCCAACTGCTCGCACCACGGCGGCACCTGCTCCAAAGACACCCATCTGTTGGCTGAAGGTGGCCAAGTGGCCTCGCTGAAAAAGATAAACGGGACACACTGGATCTTTCTCTCGGGCATTTGGAACGGAGAATGGAGACCCTGAAGTGGTTGGCGGCAGGAGCCGAAGGTGGACGTTCCTCAGAACAGCACGAGAGCAGTGGCAAGCCGAAAACACACATCAAGCAACATACGTGGGAGCCAAATAGATACAGACTGGAGGCGAGGAGCCTGGGGGACCTCATCCTTCGCTGAGCTATACACTCAGCCGGCGGCCCCCAGCAGGATCCCCAGCCCCTGGGCCTACCCCGCTACACGGGGAGGAGAGGGAGTGGCCGAGCCCATGGGGGCTGCACCACACCTGCTCATACTGCCCAGTGCATGGGCCGCACCAGCACCACATGGATGCGGCCAAGGAATCTTGAAGGGTATTTTCCAGGAGCGCACGTGTCCATCCTCTGCATGTAGACAAGTCACATGGCTCTCTGGGTGGCCCTGAGAACAATGGCTTGTTTTGAGCCCACGGACACTATGCAACTCCTGATCCGACCCGTTCCCCAATTGCTAGTGGATCCCAGGCCGCTCAGGGTTAAGTGCACGGGCCCTTCCAGCGCAGGTCCCCAGTACTGAATGCACCCGAGTCCATCACATCTTCTCTGGTTTTCCCTTTGGCCCACTTCCTTCACTCATGTGTTTCCACCCTGAAGTCTTGTGTGTGCTTGTGTGCTGTATTAAACTATTTGGGGGAAGAAAGGTATAAAGAAACACACACCTGCTCCCAACTTGTAACCACCTGCTGCCTACTTATTGGACTACCATGAGACTCTCGATAAATGGGAACCCCCAGAGCTGCAAAACCGGGGTCAGGTGGGGGGCCTACTGTCCAAACCTATTGCTTAAGGTCACCTGGAAAACATAGCTTGGCACCGTGCCCTCTTTCAGGAGGGCACCTGACAGAAATGACACAGGGCCACCATGAATTTGTTTCTTGTTCCTCCTGAGGGCCTCTTCCTAAAAGTCCCTCAGAAACAGAACCCCTTTCTGGACTTTTCCCTCTCTGTCCCAACACCCCCAGTCTACCCTTGGAGCAAGAATCTGTCATTGCTGAACTCGGGCCTCACAATCCCCGGGGAAGGCCCCTGGCCAGCCTTCAGGGCCGCCAAGTTCCTGCAGTGACGGTGGAGAACATACTTTCCCCAAACGTGGGGCTGTTCCTTATTTTTAATCTTGTATTCGGTGCTCTGAATCAAATCGGTGTGCCCTGGTCTCGCCCTTGGCTCTTCTCGGATAGGTCTCCTAGCTCGGCCTTTGCTCCTTCTCGGTTCTCTGTCTCCACCCCACACCCCAGCCCCCAGTTATAGGCTGAGGATGCATATGCTTTGCTCCCTAAGTCCTCGGCTGGCCCAAGGGGCAATCCCAGAATACCTTCCTCCCCCTAAGCAGCGGTCCGTTTTCTACTCTCCGACCTCTCTGCGTAAGAGAGCTGCCATCATCCTATTTCCAAAGGGGGAAGGAGGAGTGAGTCTCACAACCCACTTGGGCAGTCTATACTTGGGCAGCCCCTCCAGATACACACTTCCCTCTCCAGGCCAGTGTGAGAAAGGAAGTGAGATCCCCCCGCTGCAGCCTTCTCGAGCAAGCAGCCCACAGGGTACAGGGAACACTGGGAAGGCAGTTCCATTAGGAGACAGAGGTGGAGGGAAGCACCTTGTTTACAGCTCACTTCCAGACCCCAAGGCCGATGTCCCTTGACCCTCCCCCTCCCTGCCAAGACCTGGTCTATTTGTGCTTAGCTGGCTCCCCTCCCCACACCCCTGCTCTGGTGCTCCTTCCTCCACACGTCCACACATTGTGAGTGTGTGCCAGCCTTAGGAGCACGTCCCTGAGAGCGCTTGGCCTGGATGACATCAGTCCCCCTACCCTCATTAGTAGTGAACTCACTTGATAGGAAAAGTTCAAACGCCAATAACTGGGATGGGAAATGCTAGCTTCGGCCCATGGAAAGGCCATCCTGAAATTTGTATGAGACAAGAGTCCCACGCATTCCTCTTTGCAAATGTGTACTTCTAAATAATTCTGTATATGAATTAAGGAGCCCTAGGGGTAGATGTTCATGACTGCTGCAGGCATCAAAGATCACTGGATGTGCCTTCCCAGAAGAAGCCGGGCATTCCTCAATGGGCTCCAGGGGGAAAAAATCAGAAGCTTTAGCAGTTTTCCAGAGACCAAAAAGGAGAGAGCAGATTTCTGGGGCCTGAGGAGTCTCAAGGGTCCAAGGGAGGTGGGGTGGGGACTGGGGGATAGAGGGAGGAAGCAGACACACAGACAGACCGATTGAGCACTGGGTGGGGGAAGAGGTGAGCGGTTTGGCTAGGCCATGACTCTGAATCAAACTCGACCTGGCTATACCCCACCCCTCACTCTCCGTCTCAGAGCATTTATCCCAGGGTGTGACTGCGGGTGCTTTACCCACATGGTCCTCGTCTGCATCCCCTTTCCAGAACGTGAGCACCAAGAAGAGAGGTTCTTTGTGCTTCTGTTCACCTGTCTCAGTATGGACGTGCTGAAGGATTGAATCAGTTGAGTACGTGTGTTTTACCCACTCCACCTACAAAGTTCAGGGTGGGGTGCGTGTCCTTACACTTTAGTTCAAGTGCATTAGAAAGTTAAAGGTTAGTGTTGCCTCGAGAAGTTCGGGACCGCCCGTGGGACACCTGGAGAGTTAGAGCCCTCTGGAGGTGTTCCTGGCTCTAGGCTGGCAGTTCCAAATGGGCAGCACACAGCTCCACAGTGGAGTTGCCACCTTTAGCAAATATACATATAGGATGCCCAAAATTTGGGACATACTGATACTAAAAACTTACTCTGTTTAACTGAAATTCACATTTAACTGGGCATTCTGTATTTTACCTGGCAACCCTACCCCCTGGGGGAGGTGAAAAGAATGTACCGAGCCCCCGCAACACACCCATCACCCAGCTCGGTGCTTTACAGCTATGAGCTCATCTGTGGGTCTTGACAGCCACCCCATGAATGAGACAAGTGGTAACACTTCTTTCCTACTAATAAGGAAGCTAAGGCTCAGAGATTGTCAGAAATGGACCCAGGGAGCTCAGCTAGTAAGTAGGGGAGCTGGGGTCTGTATCCAGGTCTGTGGCTCTCTTAAGTATCACTCTCTCTCTCCACCCATAAATCAATTCCCTTGGGCCTTCATGAATTAAACGAAGCATGAATTACTTGTGAAGCAGGGTCTCTTGAATTCATCTATTTTCCCACAGTCCAGTGCAATGCCTGCTTTACTCAGAAGTGGTACTCCAAAAATGTCTGTGGAAATGAGAAGATGGATGGATGGATGGATGCAAGGGAGGGGTAAAGGGGGGGACGGATGGATGGATGGGAGGGAGGGAGGGATGATGGATGGATAGATGGTGGATGTTAGATGACATGATGGAGGGATGGATGGATGGATAATGGATGGACAGATGGATAAAAGGGAAGGATGGAGGGATGGGTGGATGGATGATGGATGGATGAGTGCGTGGGAGGGATGGATCCTCAGAAAGCCCCTCTTCAATAACCTTACTAGAGGACTCGGGAGACTGAGGCTTGGAGGAGGTTTAGCATCATTTTGGCCTCACAACTTCCTCCCAAGGGCAGTCTGCCCATGAACCAATCACATCTTCCTTCCTCCCAGGAAGCCCAGTGCCCTTGGGGTAGAGCTTTCCCAGAGGTAGGGTCCTGCCAGGCCAGCAGCCAAAATGTTCGTATGGGTCCTGGCTCCCAGGCAGCAGCTGGATAGAGAGGAGGAGACGTGAGGAAGACCCATCAATCATCTTGTTTGTGCTCTCGGCCCGTGCAAGGCCATTGTCACGGAGAGTTTAAGAAGCGTCTCTCCTCCCCCGCCCCCTTTCTTCCTCTATTTCTCTTCCCCTTCTCCTCTCCCTCTTTCTCTCCTCCTTTTTTTAATTGCTCCTCCCTGAATGAAGGGGTAGGATGAACTGACGGGTGAGGTCACTTCCTATGACCATCAAGGCAGTCCCACTAGTCACCTGGGTGGGGGCAGCCTGACACAGCAAGGGCCAAGGGTGGAGCAAGGGCTTTCCTTTCCTGGCGGGAGGATGGTACCTCTTAGGCAGAGGTGCGCCAGGAGCTGGGGACCAGAAGCCCAGGTCTCCCACACCGAGAACTTTCTTGGTTTACTTTCTCAGCCCTGATGTTCAGTGAAATCTCTGTTGCAATGGCTTGTCTCAGGTACCCTAACCAGAACAAAGGAGGAAGAAAGTCTGCCACGTGCCCCATAAGGTGGGTTTTGTTCACCTCCAAAATAAAGCGGCCCTCCGTTGGTTTGGGGAGCGGAAGGATAAGTTCCGGAGAAGTGGAATGACTCTATGGAATCCAACAAAATGCTTTGAGCTCCAGAGATAGTGAGAGGAAGGAATGGGAAAGAGCAGAGGCTAGAGGCGGGGAGGAGGCTGGGGAGGTGCCCCCTCTCGACCCTAGCGGGGAACGCTGCAGGGGCTGAGCGGGGCCTGGCTGATGGGAGTGCAGGACGCAGAACCTGATTGCTGGGGGATTAAGGCGCCTAAGTCCCTCCACCCCTACCCGACCTTGCCCTGGGCTTCATTGCAACTTTGTCCTGATCTTGAGGGCAAGGAGACCAGTTGGCCCCTGGACTGTACT